TTTTTTATATGAATAGAAGCATTTATGCGCTTGTGTGCCTGTTGCTTGCCTGCCTGCGTGTCCCCGATGCAAATTTAACAAGATTTTAGGATTTCTGATTTTCTACATCTACACACAGACACACACATACAAATGCCTGTGGCTTATCATGTCTCTGGCTGATCCGCCATACTCTATTAGGCCCATCATTGTAGTAAAGCATCATTTTTGTTTCATCATAAAATATGATTGTCCCAATAATCAATTGGATAAGAAATGTGCATATAGGCGAAGCACAATCGTTTTTCAATGTTTATTTTAGAAAGGAGCGGTTTCTTGCGCGCAGCTCTTTACTTGTAATCATTGCCAATTATTGCTTGCCTTACTGTTTCATAAGAAACCGCAAATTCAAATTTATCATTCAGCTCCCTGGGAAGAGCCCTGGTTAAGATCTGAGGATTTAGAGCCACCTTCCTCATCATGAAACGCTCTGTAAGCTCCGCTATTTTAGGCTTAGGTCCGCCTCCTCTTCATTTTCAATTCGTTTTAAGACGTTGTATATAGTCTTTCGTGTAACAGAAAACATTGCTTATAGCTCAAGCACACTTTTTCCCATCTGGTGGTTATAGAATATAAGCTGGACAACTTCAAATTATAATCTTTTGCCTGGCATCTTTTAAAAATCAAATAGCTTCTCAAAGCACGTGATATCATCGAAAAGCATCGCCGAATTAAATGAAATGAAATGCATTGAAAACAATGCAAAGCAAAGAATAGATATCGGTAAATGTACCGTTGTTTTTGGAAAAAAGGGAAAAAAGGGAGAAGGAAAAGAATGTGTAAAGAGTTTCTTGACAGTAGTCAAACCAAAGACAATATAAACACTAAGATGAGTAACGCCCATACATAGCCTGGCCTTTCATCTGGCCTTTGAGGCTTCGTACGTCTTGCCTGCCGACTAGTTGTTCGTAGTCCAAAGACCAGACGAACGAATGCCGAAGTCGTGGCTTGCTGATGCTGACACGAGCTACGAAGTTATTCGCCAGCCTGCCTTCAGCAAAGCTGGTCGATTCTGCTTTGCGTCGCTTCGTTTTCGAAGTACATTGAGCGAAAAAGTTTAGAACTTACGATCGACGCAAAGTGCTTGTGTTTTATCCATGAAATGCATGCTTTATTTAAATGATATATTACCCTAGATATTAGCGATTAATTTTACAGGAAAATTTAAGAATTTATAAAATTTTTACACAAGGCGCTTCTTGCGCAATAACTATGTTAAGAAAATAGCACACATAGATTGATTTCACTTTTCTTTTTGGACAGTGTATGCTCGAGCAAAGTTCTTGTCTCAGCCAATAGCGTGCGTGCACCTTTCGTTGTATGCGTGAATTATACATGCATAAGAACTTTAAGGTATGTGTTGTTATTCACTGCTCTGGCTTCAGCTGGCAAGAAATTAATTTTGTTTGTTTTGTAGCGCAGATCATGACCTATCCCAAATTTGTGCTGATATATGAATGCATTTTGTGTACTGAGGTTGGCTCCGCAGAAAATATGTATTTCTAAGTCGATGCAAATATTTACATAATTTTTTTAAATTGAATTAATATTATTTTTATTCTCCAATTAAGAAATAAAAGAGTGCTAAAAAAACAATTACATTTCAAGTCGACTCGAAGGTCATATTTAGTTATCACCCTATTATAATTATAATGGCCTCCTCGCGGGTTTCCCTACGTACTTCTTTATAATTCGAACAAAAAATAATAAAATAAAAAAAAATAAAAATTAATTAAATGTATCTTTGAAAACAACAAATTTGCACATTTATTTCCTTAATTTATTTTGTATTACTTAAAAATAATAATAATTTAATTAATAATTTCAAATGTAAAAAATTACATAAATATTTGCATCGACTTAAATATACAATTTTTTTTTTACGGAGCCAACCTCAGTACACAAAATGCACCCATAAGTGTATCCACAGAAATTTTGGGTAGGTCGTGATCTGCGCTAAAAAACAAAGAAAATTGTTTCTTTGCCAGCCAGACACTTTGCCAGAGCTGTGGATAACAACACATTCAAATATGCTGTTATGTATGTTATTCACACGCTTACAAACATAATTGCTTGCACGGCCCTCATAGAGCCGAAGCTGAGAGCAAATTCTATTTTTAGCTTTTTCGTTCTCTCGGCTGTGAGAGCGCAATGCTACAGATTTCGTTTTCGTTCTCAATTTTTAAAAAAATCAAGCTGCATAGTAGCATTTTGTTGTATGGCGTTAGTCATCTTAGAGTTTATATTGTCTTTGGTCAAACTGAGTCATTTTTGTATTTGTGTGTTTTTTTTTTTTGGTTTCTTATTGTTAAAATTTCATTTTGATGCTACTGTTTCATTAAAAATATCATCACTTCCTATAAATTCCCAAAAGCAAGTTTAAAATGTCAGGCGGGTGTTCATATTTTTAGTCCAATAGATGAAAAAATATATTTTTTTATTCAACGTGTAAACTCATTCTTGACTGTATATACTATACAATGCTTATACCCTATAATTACAATTATGAACTGTGGGGTAACTATCCTAGTGGCGTCCTCACAAATTTTCTTGTAAAAGTTATCGTTAGTATTTAGGGTATTATATCATTTTAATAAAGCATGCGTTTCATGGATAAATCAAAAGTGCTTTGCGTCGATTGTAAGTTTAAAACTTTTTCGCTCAATGTACTTCGAAAACGAGGCCATGCAAATCACCATCGACCAGCTTTGCTGAAGGCAGGTAGGCAACTAATTTCTCTGCTCGTGTCAGAATCAGAGAGCCGCGACTTTGGCATCCATGTCGTGCGAAATCGTAAAAGCCAGTTTAGAAAGTCAGGCTATAAATTTTGCGTTGCATGCAATTGGCGTTACTCATATTAGTGTTTAGTTTTTCTTTGGTATAGTATTATCGTGAATGTATGTATACACACATATGGTATGTACATGTCTCACAATTATGTACGCATCCTTTGTCGAAAAATGTGTAACGCATAGAAGGAGACTTCTCCGACCCCATAAAGTATACATATAGCCATGTCTGTCTCTCCATCTGTCTGTTTCTATGCGAACTAGTCTCTCAATTTTAAAGCTATCTAAATGAAACTTTGCAGAAGTCCATCTTTCTGTTGCACGCAGAACATATGTCAAAAAAAGCTGGATCGGACCACTATATCCCACCACTATATATAAAATTAAATTGTTGTATGAAAAAACATTTTGTTTTTAAGATACCTTGACCAAACTCGGCATTTAATAGTTTTACTATACTCCTCATATATATATGCAAAATCCTATTAAGATCGCACCACTATATCATATACCTGCCATAGGAACGATCGGTCGAAAATTAAGTTGTTGTATGAAAAAACATTTTGTTTATCAAGATATCTTAATCAAACTCGACATTTATTAGTTTTATTGTACTCCTCATATAAATGCAAAATCCGATTTAGATCGGACTACTATATCATATATCTGGCATAGGAACGGGTTGAAAACCAGTTTTTTGATTAAAAACCTTTTTTGTTTATCAAGATATCTTGACCAAACTCGGCATTATCTATTTTCCTCTGCTTCTAAGATACGGGCGAAGCACTATAAGCATTATGACAAGGTTGGGTCGGCAAGGCTATCAGATCTTCGGCGTGTCGCTAAGGCCACTGATTTTATCCGACACGGCATAAGTAAGTCGTGTCACCTAGCTTTAATACCCTACTTCTAATATAAATTTGTTGCTCATTGAGAGTGAACAACTACAGCCTGCACGACTTCCCTATTTTTAATTCAAATTCAATATTGGAGTAATTCACATTTTTTGTTTCGTTAACCCCCGCACAGTTTGAGCAAAGGAAACCAAATGAGATCAAGCAATAACGAAGATCAGTGCAAGGCAGCACACTTTTGGCACGTGCCAATGATAATTTGATTACTACTGACAAATAAAGTATCGATGTACATATTTTATTATGATGTTATTTTTTTTTGGTTACAACACAGAATAACTTCTTTATTATATAATAATGAATACAACTCTCTTAATTGTCACATAAACATTTAATACATTTTTCATTGGCTGTGTGTAATCGGTTAAGAATTTCTCATGGTGCATTTAAAATTTAGGAAACAACCGAGAATAAGGAGATGTCCAAAACGAAAAATAACGGACAAGTCAATATACAAATACAGTGGTTGTTACATCAAATTAATTGAGTTGGCACTTTGTATTCAATATAGAGTTTGTATTCGGGAGCGGCGTTTTCGTAGATCCGGTGCAACTCCTGTGCCGGTTCGTATCTGGCGTGATGCATTAGAGCTCTCAGCTCTAACAGATACTCCATGAATTCCTCCCCCTCGCGTTGCCTGCGGGACCGGATTTCGTCCTCAAGCCCTTCGAAGTAGCGTGGGGCAGGAAGAACAGGAAGAACCAAAAACCCCTCCTGAACACCGACCATAGCACATCTCTAAGCCCACCGACCGGCCCTGTCGCAGAACACCTCACTCATCGGCCGAGGCAATCTATCGAGGGCGATGGCGCGTTTCTCTAGGTCTCCAAGAACTCGAGGGGGTCGGAGCGATCATCGTATCTCATGCCCCACCTCCGAACTTGTTCCGGAGCGTTTGTGAAAGGCCTAACCCCCGACCGAGAATATGGTGGTTGGGGCCCCACGCCTACGTTGGTCGTGGTTGCACGGCGGTCTCCATTTTCCTTGGGATCGGGAGCCTCTTCCACACCCGTGACGGCCACACCAGGGAAAGGCGGCCGCGGACGCCTGTACAATTGTGAGCTCCTATGATCAGGCTCTGACTTTTGGCACGGCCGTCCAGCCACGTCAGATGGGACGCCCCAGGATAGCAGCTCTAACGTTTTCGCGAATTGAGACTCCAGCTCGGCAAGCCGAGCCCAGATCTCAGACGAATGGCTGCCCTCCTGCACGGAGGTGGATAGCCGCCTACGCAGTTCCTCCACGCACCCTTCCTTATCTAGCCCGAACTCCTGGGCGATGGCCACCAACTCTTCCTTGCGCCGCTGATAGATACAACCACTAACCAAACAACATATAGACTGAACATAAGTACCAGAAAGTAGGCACAACATGTATCGGAGGCATCTGGTCCAAACTCGCGAGTAAGGGAGTAAGATATACATATGATGTATTTTTGAACCACTTACTCTACAGGAAAGTGCTTGGCGCGCTCTCTTCCATATGATTTGTGCGATAGAAAGGCAACGCTGTTAACTTTTATCTCGCTCGCTCTTACTCTCAGCTCTCAATGCTCTCTCTTTATGTTTAGGGATCGTTTAAATGCGTGTGTGTGTATGTGTCCGACAAGCATAACTGCGCAAAAATTCAATTTTTCCCAAATGCTGAGGCATTTCTACCCTTTTGAAGGCACGAGTAATATGAAATAGAGAAAGGGTTTGCCACGTTGTATGTTTTTTATATGAATAGAAGCATTTATGCGCTTGTGTGCCTGTTGCTTGCCTGCCTGCGTGTCCCCGATGCAAATTTAACAAGATTTTAGGATTTCTGATTTTCTACATCTACACACACATACAAATGTCTGTGGCTGATCATGTCTGTGGCTGATCCGCCATACTCTACTAGGCCCATCATTGTAGTAAAGCATCATGTTTGTTTCATCATAAAATATGATTGTCCCAATAATCAATTGGATAAGAAATGTGCATATAGGCGAAGCACAATCGTTTTTCAATGTTTATTTTAGAAAGGAGCGGTTTCTTGCGCGCAGCTCTTTACTTGTAATCATTGCCAATTATTGCTTGCCTTACTGTTTCATAAGAAACCGCAAATTCAAATTTATCATTCAGCTCCCTGGGAAGAGCCCTGGTTAAGATCTGAGGATTTAGAGCCACCTTCCTCATCATGAAACGCTCTGTAAGCTCCGCTATTTTAGGCTTAGGTCCGCCTCCTCTTTTGGGTTCCAACGTACCTTCATTTTCAATTCGTTTTAAGACGTTGTATATAGTCTTTCGTGTAACAGAAAACATTGCTTATAGCTCAAGCACACTTTTTCCCATCTGGTGGTTATAGAATATAAGCTGGACAACTTCAAATTATAATCTTTTGCCTGGCATCTTTTAAAAATCAAATAGCTTCTCAAAGCACGTGATATCATCGAAAAGTATCGCCGAATTAAATGAAATGAAATGCATTGAAAACAATGCAGAGCAAAGAATAGATATCGGTAAATGTACCGTTGTTCTTGGAATATTGAAAAAAGGGAGAAGGAAAAGAATGTGTAAAGAGTTTCTTGACAGTAGTCAAACCAAAGACAATATAAACACTAAGATGAGTAACGCCCATACATAGCCTGGCCTTTCATCTGGCCTTTGAGGCTTCGTACGTCTTGCCTGCCGACTGGTTGTTCGTTCTCCAAAGACCAGACGAACGAATGCCGAAGTCGTGGCTTGCTGATGCTGACACGAGCTACGAAGTTATTCGCCAGCCTGCCTTCAGCAAAGCTGGTCGATTCTGCTTTGCGTCGCTTCGTTTTCGAAGTACATTGAGCGAAAAAGTTTAGAACTTACGATCGACGCAAAGTGCTTGTGTTTTATCCATGAAATGCATGCTTTATTTAAATGATATATTACCCTAGATATTAGCGATTAATTTTACAGGAAAATTTAAGAATTTATAAAATTTTTACACAAGGCGCTTCTTGCGCAATAACTATGTTAAGAAAATAGCACACATAGATTGATTTCACTTTTCTTTTTGGACAGTGTATGCTCGAGCAAAGTTCTTGTCTCAGCCAATAGCGTGCGTGCACCTTTCGTTGTATGCGTGAATTATACATGCATAAGAACTTTAGGGTATGTGTTGTTATTCACTGCTCTGGCTTCAGCTGGCAAGAAATTAATTTTGTTTATTTTGTAGCGCAGATCATGACCTATCCCAAATTTGTGTTAATATATGAATGCATTTTGTGTACTGAGGTTGGCTCCGCAGAAAATATGTATTTCTAAGTCGATGCAAATATTTACATAATTTTTTAAATTGAATTAATATTATTTTTATTCTCCAATTAAGAAATAAAAGAGTGCTAAAAAAACAATTACATTTCAAGTCGACTCGAAGGTCATATTTATTTATCACCCTATTATAATTATAATGGCCTCCTCGCGGTTTTCCCTACGTACTTCTTTATAATTCGAACAAAAAATAATAAAATAAAAAAAAATAAAAATTAATTAAATGTATCTTTGAAAACAACAAATTTGCACATTTATTTCCTTAATTTATTTTGTATTACTTAAAAATAATAATAATTTAATTAATAATTTCAAATGTAAAAAATTACATAAATATTTGCATCGACTTAAATATACAATTTTTTTTTTACGGAGCCAACCTCAGTACACAAAATGCACCCATAAGTGTACCCACAGAAATTTTGGGTAGGTCGTGATCTGCGCTAAAAAACAAAGAAAATTGTTTCTTTGCCAGCCAGACACTTTGCCAGAGCTGTGGATAACAACGCATTCAAATATGCTGTTATGTATGTATATTCACACGCATACAAACATAATTGCTTGCACGGCCCTCATAGAGCCGAAGCTGAGAGCAAATTCTATTTTTAGCTTTTTCGTTCTCTCGGCTGTGAGAGCGCAATGCTACAGATTTCGTTTTCGTTCTCAATTTTCAAAAAATCAAGCTGCATAGTAGCATTTTGTTGTATGGCGTTAGTCATCTTAGAGTTTATATTGTCTTTGGTCAAACTGAGTCATTTTTGTATTTGTGTTTTTTTTTTTTGGTTTCTTATTGTTAACATTTCATTTTGATGCTACTGTTTCATTAAAAATATCATCACTTCCTATAAATTCCCAAAAGCAAGTTTAAAATGTCAGGCGGGTGTTCATATTTTTAGTCCAATAGATGAAAAAATATATTTTTTTATTCAACGTGTAAACTCATTCTTGACTGTATATACTATACAATGCTTATACCCTATAATTACAATTATGAACTGTGGGGTAACTATCCTAGTGGCGTCCTCACAAATTTTCTTGTAAAAGTTATCGTTAGTATTTAGGGTATTATATCATTTTAATAAAGCATGCGTTTCATGGATAAATCAAAAGTGCTTTGCGTCGATTGTAAGTTTAAAACTTTTTCGCTCAATGTACTTCGAAAACGAGGCCATGCAAATCACCATCGACCAGCTTTGCTGAAGGCAGGTAGGCAACTAATTTCTCTGCTCGTGTCAGAATCAGAGAGCCGCGACTTTGGCATCCATGTCGTGCGAAATCGTAAAAGCCAGTTTAGAAAGTCAGGCTATAAATTTTGCGTTGCATGCAATTGGCGTTACTCATATTAGTGTTTAGTTTTTCTTTGGTATAGTATTATCGTGAATGTATGTATACACACATATGGTATGTACATGTCTCACAATTATGTACGCATCCTTTGTCGAAAAATGTGTAACGCATAGAAGGAGACTTCTCCGACCCCATAAAGTATACATATTCTTTATCAGCATCAACAGCCGAGTCGATATAGCCATGTCTGTCTCTCCATCTGTCTGTTTCTATGCGAACTAGTCTCTCAATTTTAAAGCTATCTAAATGAAACTTTGCAGAAGTCCATCTTTCTGTTGCACGCAGAACATATGTCAAAAAAAGCTGGATCGGACCACTATATCCCACCACTATATATAAAATTAAATTGTTGTATGAAAAAACATTTTGTTTTTAAGATACCTTGACCAAACTCGGCATTTATTAGTTTTACTATACTCCTCATATATATGCAAAATCCTATTAAGATCGCACCACTATATCATATACCTGCCATAGGAACGATCGGTCGAAAATTAAGTTGTTGTATGAAAAAACATTTTGTTTATCAAGATATCTTAACCAATCTCGACATTTATTAGTTTTATTGTACTCCTCATATAAATGCAAAATCCGATTTAGATCGGACTTCTATATCATATATCTGGCATAGGAACGATGGGTTGAAAACAAGTTTTTTGATTAAAAACCTTTTTTGTTTGTCAAGATATCTTGACCAAACTCGGCATTATCTATTTTCCTATGCTTCTAAGATACGGGCAAAGCACTATAAGCATTATGACAAGGTTGGGTCGGCAAGGCTATCAGATCTTCGGCGTGTCGCTAAGGCCACTGATTTTATCCGGCACGGCATAAGTAAGTCGTGTCACCTAGCTTTAATACCCTACTTCTAATATAAATTTGTTGCTCATTGAGAGTGAACAACTACAGCCTGCACGACTTCCCTATTATTAATTCAAATTCAATATTTGAGTAATTCACATTTTTTGTTTCGTTAATCCCCGCACAGTTTGAGCAAAGGAAACCAAATGAGATCAAGCAATAACGAAGATCAGTGCAAGGCAGCACACTTTTGGCACGTGCCAATAAAAATTTGATTACTACTGACAAATAAAGTATCGATGTACATATTTCATTATGATGTTTTTTTTTTTTTGGGTACAACACAGAATAATTTCTTTATTATATAATAATGAATACAACTCTCTTAATTGTCACATAAACATTTAATACATTTTTCATTGGCTGTGTGTAATCGGTTAAGAATTTCTCATGGTGCATTTAAAATTTAGGAAACAACCGAGAATAAGGAGATGTCCAAAACGAAAAATAACGGACAAGTCAATATACAAATACAGTGGTTGTTACATCAAATTAATTGAGTTGGCACTTTGTATTCAATATAGAGTTTGTATTCGGGAGCGGCGTTTTCGTAGATCCGGTGCAACTCCTGTGCCGGTGCGTATCTGGCGTGATGCATCAGAGCTCTCAGCTCTAACAGGTAATCCATGAATTCCTCCCCCTCGCGTTGCCTGTAGGACCGGATTTCGTCCTCAAGCCCTTCGAAGTAGCGTGGGGCAGGAAGAACAGGAAGAAGCAAAAACCCCTCCTGAACACCGACCATAGCACATCTCTAAGCCCACCGACCGGCCCTGTCGCAGAACACCTCACTCATCGGCCGGGGCAATCTATCGAGTGTGATGGCGCGTTTCTCTAGGTCTCCAAGAACTCGAGGGGGTCGGACCGATCATCGTATCTTATGCCCCACCTCCGAACTTGTTCCGCAGCGTTTGTGAAAGG